CACATAGCATACTATTAACTATTTTAAATGTATGACTCAGGGCATTTGTACAACCACCACCTCTCTCTGGTTTCAAAATTTTTTCATCACCCCAAAAAACCACTCCATTAGTAATCACACTGTGTTCTCTCATCCCCTGTTCCCTGGCAACCACTAATTTACTTTGTTTCTATGTATTTGCCTGTTCTGCATATTAGCTTCTTTCATTTAACATGTTTTTGAGGTTCATCCATGTTGCAGTATGTATCAGTATTTCATTCCTTTTTATGGCTAATATTCCACCACACAAACATACCACAATCTGTTTATCCACTCATCCATCAATGGACATTTGGGTTGTTTCCACTTTTGGCTATCATGAATAATGCTACTATGAAGATCTGTGTACAGTCTTCTGTGTGGATATACTTATTTTCATTTTTCTTGGATATATACCTAGGAGAATTGCTCAGTCATATGGTAATTGTTTAGCCTTCTGAGGAACCACCAAACTATTTTCCATAGCAGCCTCATCATTTTATAATTATGATCAGCAATGTATGAAGATTCCCCTTCTCCACATTCTGACACTTGTCATTTCCATAAAAAGTATCTATATTTATATACATATCTCTATCTTAGTGAACATGATAGTGAACATGAAGTGGCATTTCATTGTGGTTCTTTTTTTTTTTCATTGTGGTTCTGATAAGCACTTCCTTAATAACCAATGATGTTGAACATCTTTTTATGTACTTATTGGCATTCTCTATCTCTTCTTTGGAGATAGATCTATTCAAATCCTTTGCTCATTTTTATTTTTTAAAAAGATTTATTTATTTTGGAGCATGAGCAGGGGGAGGAGCAGAGCGAGAGGGAGAGAATCCTTAAGTAGACTCCTCACAGAGTGTGTAGCACAGTGCAGGGCTCAGTCCCATGACCCTGAGATCATGACCTGAGCTGAAATCAAGAGTCAGATGCTTACCCGACTGAGCCACCCAGGCATCCCCCACCCTTGCTCATTTTTAAATTGGGTTGTCTGAGTGCCTGGGTGGCTCAGTCAGGTAAGCGTCTGCCTTCTGTAGCCTGTTTCTCTCTCTCTCCCCTTGCTTGTGCTCTCTGCCAAATAAATAAGATCTTTAAAAAATTGGGTTGTTTGTTGTTGCTAAGTTGTAAGAATTCTTGGGGCACCTAGGTGGCTCAGTGGTTGAGTGTCTACCTTCTGCTCAGGTCATGATCCCAGGGTCCTGGGTTCGAATCCCACATCAAGCTCCCTGCTCAGTGGGGAGCCTGCTTCTCCCTCTGCCTATGTCTCTCTCTCTTTGTGTCTCTCATGAATAAATAAATATTTTCTTAAAAAAAGTTGTAAGAATTCTTTATACATTCTGGATACTAAACCCTTAACACATAAATGATTTGCATATACTTTCTCCCATTCTGTAGGTCATCTTTTCACTTTCCTGATAATGTCTTTCAATAGACAAAAGTTCTTTTTATGGAAGTCTTGTTTCCTACAACTTTGCCAAATTCACTTATTAGCTCTAGAATTTTTCAGTGGATTCCTTGGAATATTCTATATGTAGAATTGTGTTCTGCAAATAACTTTACTTCTTTCCGATTTGGGGGTCTTTTCTTCTTGTTGCTCAAATGCTCTGCCAGGACTTCAAGCCTACGTTGATTAGCAGTAGTGAACTTACGAATCCTTAGCAAGGATTCCTTGATCTCAGCAAGTGTTCAACCTTTTCCCATAGAGGATGCTAGCTGTCAGTTTTTCATTGATGCTCTTTATTATGTTATGGAAGTATTCCTAGTTTTGAGTGTTTGTGATAGGGTACTACATTTTGTCAAATGTCTTTTCTGTATCAATTGATCATGTGGTTTTATTCCTTTGTTTATTAACGTGGTGTATTACATTGATTTTCTTTTGAACTATCCCTTGTATTTGTGATAAATCCCACTTTAATCTTTTAAATGTGCTGTTGGATTTAGTGTCTTATAAATTTTTACACCTATATTCATAAAGGATATTGGTCCAGTTTTTCTTCTTCTTGTGTCATCTGTCTGCAGTTCACTTAACTTGAAGTCCATAACTAAGATGAGAAAGAAGCTAATTCTGTAATTCTGAGCTGATCAGTACCAGATAAAGAATATTATCAGAAGAAATTTAAAATCTTCCTGAGACATAAAATCCATGACTTACTTTAGTGATTTAAACTTGAGATTTTCTTGGGTTTACTATAGAGAACACTATATAGTTGGCTTGAAAGAGATATCTGTCTAGAGTTCCATGATGGTTGCTTATTGGACAGAATAATAACTTGGCCTCACAACTCCCTGGGATAGAAGGAAGTTGAAGTTCTCGAGAAGGAAATGGGGAGTAAAACACAGAACGTGAAGGGCATGAGCTCCCTAATACAGAAGGCTTTTCTTGACTTTTTTCATTCCACCTTCCCATTTGAGAAAAGTTAAATTTTATTTTCTATTTTCAAAAAAATCCTCTCAACAATGTATTTCTGGAGCAAAAAGCTCCCTGCCTATGTTTACATTGACAGTTCAGATATGTTAACACAGACCTGCATCAATTCCTAATCCTCATTCACACTGTTCCCTAGTACCCAGGGTAAAGAAGGGGAATGGGTGTGGAGTGATGCCTGCACAGCAACAGCTATACAGCAAGCTAGTGCCTGAGTAGAGCTGGGAGTCCTCAAGACACTTCCCTCCTGCCAATCTCACATACTTATCAAAATACCACCTGACAAAGGCCAGAATTCAGGCTTGAGTATGCTTAGGAAGAACCTGCTGCACAGCAGGGAAACCCGTATGTTCACAGCTACTGAGCTGACCTTATGCCATGTCAGGCAACACACCTACTCACCACAGTGCAGCCTGGGCACCGTCAGACCAGTGTGAGAACTAAGACCTTAGATGTGGATATGGAAGGAGGTATGCACACACTTACTAGAAAGAAGAAAAACTGGTCCTTTGGCATCTTCCAGTTAGTTCTTTCTGGCCTGGATGAAGGCTCAGGATGCTTTAGCAGTTTGGCAAGCCTGTTCAGATAAATTTAACATTGAAAGCACCTTCCTGTCTCAACTCCTTTCTACTAATTAAGTGAAACTAGACAGTAGTGCTGGCTCATTCCTTCAGCTTCACATTTTTACACACACCTACTATCCATGACAAGCAAGCTGTGAGAGCTGCCACAGAAGCCCAGTCTCCAGTGTCATTAGATGGAAGACTAGGAAGAAAGGGTGGCTATTTCCAGACATGCAAACTGTAGAGCTGTGGGCCAAGCACCTCCCCAAGGATTTCAAGGGAGAGGAACTGCTAGCCTCCTCACTGCTGTGACCCTGACTCTGCTGGGGCCTTTCTTGAAAGCAGCTCGGGAAGTGCAGGTGGGTTAGGGATAGGAGTCTTCTTGGAGCTTGGCCATCCCAGGGTCAGCCAGCTCTGGGAGTGAAGGAGTCCAGCTGATCTTTTAACTGTGCAAGGATAACTGCGTAGGGTACCACAAGCTTATCCATAAGTTATTAGGTTGAGCCATAGGAAATTGCCAATATTTGACCTTTGAAAATGGCAATTTCATACAGTTCAACCCAAACTCTTAATAAGGGGAAAGGCAAGAAATTGAAGCCCAGACTATTGTCTGCAGATTTTATTCAATCTATTAGAAGCAGAATGTTTCCTAGAATGTTAGTCTCCCAATTCATTTTTTCATCTTCCATATTGTTTAGGGTTCTATTATGGGTTGAACTGTGTCCTCCCAAAAGGCCTAAATCCTAATCCCCACTACCGCATAATGTGAGCTTATGAAAAAAAAATTTTTTTTAAGTAGGCTCCACATGTGGAGCCCAATGTGGGCTTGAACTCACAACCTTGAGATCAAGACCTGAGACCAAGATTTAGATGCTTAACTGACTGAGCAACCCAGATGCCCCAGAAATAAGGTCTTTAGAGGTAATTAAGTTAAAGTGATGTCATTAGTGTGGGCCCTACCAATGACTGGTGTCCTTACAAAAAGGGGACATTTTGCCAGAGGCAAGATCATGATGTGGTGGCAGGAGTGATGCATCTACAAACCAAGGAATGGTTAAGGCTACCAGCAGCTAGGAGAGAGGCTTGAGCAGTTCCTTCTTTCAAGCCTTGAGACGGAGCTTGGCCTTGTAGAAACCTTGATTTTGGATTTCTGGTTCCCAGAACTGTGAGGCAATGAGATGTTTATTGTTGTTTTAAGATTTTATTTACTTATTCATGATAAACATAGAGAGAGGCAAAGACACAGGTAGAGGGAGAAGCAGGCTCCCCGCTGGGAGCCCAATGAGGGACTTGATCCCAGGACTCTGGGATCATGTCCTGAGCCAAAGGCAGACGTTCAACCACTGAGCCACCCAGGTGTCCCAGATCTTGTTTGAAATCACCCAGTATGTGGTACTGGGCCACATTACTAACGTTATGGTCCAAATGTTTATACCCCACCCGACTTTTTCCTTCCTTCTTTCCTTTTCTTTTCTTTTCTTTTCTTTTCTTTCTTTCTTTCTTTCTTTCTTTCTTTCTTTCTTTCTTTTCTTTCTTTTCTTTCTATTTATTTATTTATTTATTTTTTTCCACCCGACTTTATATGTTGAAATCCTAATGCCCAATGTGATGATATTAGTAGATGAGCTGTAAAGAAATATGTAAGTAACAAAGTGGAACCCTCATGAATGGCACTAGTGCCCTATTAAAAGAGGCTCTAGAGAAATCTCTAGTCCCTTGTATACCATGTGAGGAGACAGTGAGAAGGTGTTACCTATGAGCCAGTAAGCTAGCCCTCACCAGAAGGTGACTGTGCTGATGTCTTGATCCTGGACTTTCTAGGCTTGAGAGCTGTAAACAGTAATTTCTGTTGTATATAAGCTACCCAAGTCTATGGTATTTTGTTATAGCAGCCTGAAAGGATGAAGGTACCTAGGAAGTAAATACAGGCTCCTTCCAGTGATGATAAACTATGTTATTGGTAAGACACAATAGGACAGCTCATGTTAAAAATGGTATAGTTGTTTAATCTGTAGGATCCAGATTTGAGGTATTTATTCCTACAGGAACTAGTTGTGAGCTTCCTACTGTGGCCAAAAAGATTCTGTTTAGATACAATAAAGCTAGCTTTGTCATTTATCTCTCTCTCTCTCTCTCTCACACACACACACACACACACACACACACACACACACAAATACACACTCCTCCCTCTGGTTTTCTGGCATTGTCAGGTTTGTGGTAAGAGTTTCGATATGAATTTTTTCTTCAGTCGGCAATGGGGCAGACATCATGCTTGTGCAACCTTAAGGAGCCCATTCAAATTTAGGAGCACCAGAGACTTCTCCTAAAGAGACACAAAGGATTGCTGATGCTATCACAGGGAGCCCTTTCATGTCAAAAAGTGTAGAAGTGGAAACAGAGCCCCTGGGGTTGTATTCCGGAAGATTTGTCCAGGAAGATCAGTGGCTTCACCCTCTAGGGGCCTCAAAAGCAGGTCAGGAGAGCAGGATCAGGGATAACAGATTCTTCTGGAGGGAAGGTGAGCCTATTGCAGATTGGTGTAGAATGCACCAGAAGCTCTTATGTCAATTTTTTTTTTAGGATCCAGTTTTACAAATGTGCCTAAACAAACAAAATAATAGAAGGTGATTTTAAGTCAGCTGACTGTAGTCAGATAGGACTTCTCTGAGTAGAAAAGTATATAAAAGGAAAGGGATTTTGATTCATATTTGTACCTTCGATCTATGGGCCTACTCTCATTTCTCAGTCAAATTAAAAATCAGCTTTTGACTATCACAACACCATAGTGCCTCTGGGAACTCAGTCCTCTCCCACTTGGTCATTTAATGGTTCATTACCACTTCCATTAAAGATAGTTAGGAAAGGGAAAGGTGAAATTACAACTAAGCCACATGGAACCTTGATACTGAAAGTGTTAGGGAGATAGGTTGCATAAACCAAAGCCTGGAATGAAGTTTTAAAATTGACTATGGATTCAAATTATTCAGGATCTTATTCCTGCTTCTTTCATCCATCATTTCTGTAAACAGCTGATACTTGGTGGGGGGTGAGGAGGACACAAAAAGCATTAACGATAAAGGAAAAATAATTTAAAGACATTAGCTTAATTTAAAATACAGAAAGAACTCCCATAAGTCAGTTAAAAAGACAAAGAAAGAAAGACAAGATAAAGGGAAAAAAATGATAAAGAAGTTGAACAGGAATTTCACAGAATGGGAAACAAACATGGTGAAAAAATATATGATGAGATGCTCATCATGTGATGCAAGTCAAAATCACACAAAGATAGCATTTTATAACCACCTGATTGGCAAAAACCCAGAAGGCTGACTTTAACAATTGCTAAAGAAGATAGATCAACAGAATCTCCTATTGCTGGTGGGAGTGTAATTCGGTAACAGCTTTAGAAAACAAGTCTGGTGTTTCCCTGTGAAGCTTAACACTCAACATTTAACTATGCGCCAAGCTCTTGCCCATGTACAACACCAGAATGCTCATAGAAGCTCATTCATAAGAGAGTCTGAGGTCCACAGAGGCACCTGGGTGGCTCAGTTAGGTGACCAAAACTCAATTTTGGCTCAGCTCATGATCTCAGGTTGTGAGATACAGCCCCATATCAGACTCCCTGCTAGGTGGAGCCTGCTTAAGATTCTCTATCCCCCCTACTCTGTCTCTAACAAAAGAAAAAAAATGAAAAAGAGTCCAAGGTCCACGATCAGAAGAGAAGATAAATCCACCATGATATAGTCACATAGTGGACTATCATTAAGCAGGAGCAATGAGGAAACTACAAGACAACAACAGAGTGAATGTCAGTAACATAAGCTGAATGAAAAGAAAACCAACCCTCAGACAAGTACATATAGCAGGACTTTTTTTTTTTTACAAAGTTCAGAACAGACAACTAAACTATACACTCCTGAGGTACACACAAATATCCTTGATAAAATTCACTAAAATAAAAAATAAGGTATAAGCAAATATAACACTGTATGGTAATGACACTTCAGAAACCTCAGGAGGAAAGCAGGAAGATGAGATGGGAAAATAATTAGGTAGGGGTATGATACTAAGATTCTGGTTCTTGGCTGATGGTAGGTTTCAGGGTGTTTATTAAATTAAAAAAACAAATACATTAGTGAATGAATAGATAAAAGATGGCTGTTTCATGCACCGATGATGCCTGTGTGTCCTAACTCAAAGATTCTGATTAACCCAAACTGGGCACCTGAGGTCCATTAAAACAATACAGAACAGAAACCAACAAAAAAACCCTGGATATCTAAATTAACTCATCTAAATCTGAAGCACGGAATGTAAGGCTTCAAGGGCTCTTTCCTGTCAGAGCAGGGGGCTGCGGGTACTCAGGGATGCAATCTGGAAGCACTTCTGGTAAACTGCCTGCAGAGTCCAGAGGGAAGGGACCGTGTCTTCCAGACAGCAGCAGCAGCATGTTGTGGTTTCTTTCCTCGTTTTAAACAAAAACTCATATTTATACACAAGTTTGCATTCTTTTTCTTAAATTTCTTAAATTTCTTAAATTGTGCAAGCAAAACCTAGCTCCGGTCCTAGTAATCCACTGATATAATCACATCACAAGGTGCACTCCCTCCACCTTCTGGTCCTCTTCCTAGAGGAAATAAATGTTTGTGTAGCATTCTGGAAGGTCTATGCAACACAAATATACACAAAATATACAGGTATTTTCCCTTCCCTGTTATTTTTTATTTTGAAATGTCATCCTGACAGAAAAACTGTAAGACTAGTACAAAGAAGAATGGTTTCCTCTGGAACCACTGGAGATTAACTCGCCAAAATTTGTATAAGATGACAATATATTAAGTCACTCATGATGTTATTTCTAAGAGCAAAAGACTAGGCAAACACTCATGTCTGAGATCTCCAATTCCAACCCAACACTACAGGGTGCATTCTAGTTTTTACTCTTTCATATCTGGAAATCCCCTCTCTGACAGGAACCTGGCTCCCCTCTCAGCTGTCAGCCTGTGTAGATGTCACTGCGTTCCCCATGGGCTTTGACACCAATAGGAAGCCATACTTTCCCCTACTTGGGCTCTGCCGCCCTGTGCTGGGCCACTTGCTCATGTGGACATCCTCTTCACTCCACTAGGGCTCACAGCTCGCTGTGGCCCCAGATCAATCCCAAGCCTACCATGCTCACTCTACCTAATGGCTTTTGGAATACATTTTTCGAGAAGGAGGGAAGGGGTAAAATGGAAAGAGGAAGAAAAAGGAAGAGAATGCAAAAGATCTCTCTACAGTTTCTACACTAATGACAGCATACTACATTCACAGTCCTGCACCTTGTGTTTTCATTCAATATATACTAATGAAATAGCCCCATAAAGAATTTCCTTATTATTAATGGCACCATAATATTCCACAAAATTTTTTTATGCCACACACAATATGGTTCTTCAACCAGCCTCCTATTGATGGTATCTCTGTTTTGCCAATCTTCTGCTATTCCAAATAACTTTACGTTTATGTATAAATTAACACAATTACTGTGACAGTAGAGCAACTTATACACTGTAATTTTACAGTTTAGTACATCTGTAGGATAAAGTCCAGGAAATGGGTGAAAATGAGCACACAAGTTTGTAGTTTTAATAGATTTTGGCAAGTGCCTCTCTACCAGTAATGCTTAAGAATACCTTTAACTTATTTTTTGCATGAGAGAGAACTGAGAATTTCTGGGCATTTGTGGGTGATAAAACCAAATCAAAACAAAAACAAACCCAAAATCTGACAACTCCTAAGCCCCCAAACACAAAACCCAAGAAAGTCCAAAGCAAATTAAGGCAAACTACATAATGAGGCAGTGGCAATTCCTTACTTGTTGCCTCTGAGTACAGGGTCTTCTCATCCATGCTTCGGATATTACAGGAAACAAACAACTTCCTTCCTTCAACTCTATCAAGCTGGCAATTTATCACAACAACAGAACAAAGAGGGATAGGCCTGCAGAAGAAACAAAAAGGAGACAAAATTAGTTTTTACTAAATTTATGTAACATTGAGATGATCAAGTGCTCGTGAAGGGGTAGAAACTCTAAGAGCTGGTGTGTGTGTTAGTAAAACTGTCTCAGATAAAACACCCTTTTTCCTGGGCTGAACCCAGTGGCCATGCACACCCCCTTCCTCCTGAGTGCCTCTGATTTCAGGTAGCAAGTGGGCACCTGGTCCAAGCTGTCTCGGGGCTGACTTCAAAGAGACCACTTGGGTTTCAGATTTGCGATGGCATAGGCTGTCCCATCTGAAGACCCAGCGCAAGGTCTGAAGGATGCTGGGATCATTTAAAGAAATGAAAACAAGACCATGGGATGGTCCCATCAGCTCTCTCATTTTCTAACATAACAAAAATTTCTCACCCTATCCCTTTTAGGGTGACCATCACTAAAAAGGCATCCAATGACAACAAACTGCAGGCAATGGCTTAATGTACTAAGCAAGGGCTGTCCAAGAGACCTTTCCATGGAGATAGGCATGTTTCACCTCTGAGCTGTCCAATACAGGAGCTCCCTTACAATGAATACCCAAAATGTGGCTGCTGTGAATGAAAAATGTAACCTTAAAATTTATTTAATTTTAATGAATTTAAATTTATTTTATTTTATTTTTTTATGATAGTCACACACACACACAGAGAGAGAGAGAGAGGCAGAGACACAAGCAGAGGGAGAAGCAGGCTCCATGCACCGGGAGCCTGACATGGGACTCGATCCCGGGTCTCCAGGATCGCACCCTGGGCCAAAGGCAGGCGCTAAACCGCTGCGCCACCCAGGGATCCCAATGAATTTAAATTTAAATTTAAATAGCTACATGTGACCAATGGCTATAGTTACTCTTAGGGAATCCTGGAGACAGGGTGCCACGATGAAAAAGTACCTTTTCAAAGGTGAAATTTTATTTGGCAGAAACATAATGTGGAGCAGATGTATTCTGTGCTCCTGCAGTGCCACCATGTACAGGACTACTCCAGGTGGAAGGAGTCATCACAGTGATTCCCTCTGCCGAGTTTCTCTCCCATTAGCTTTTCCTGAACTTCATGATGGAACAATCGAGCTTTGCTTTTTTTTCTTTAAACATCTCTTTATATCATCTTTTATACTGTGTATCTGATTATCATGATATCTTAAGTCTCTAAATCTATTATTTATTCTTTCTGCTGATTCTCACTTATGGTTGTTTACTTCCTCATGTGTATTTTATCTTTGTGTATTTGGCACAGATCTATGACTCTAAAGGAAAAATGTCCTTCAGAATTTCTATGTTGCTAGCAGAAGTCTAATCCAGGGCTTCCCAATTAATATGCCACGAATAAGTTGCAAAAATGCTGAGCTATCGATTCTTCACAGCTGGCTAGCTACTACTAATCAGTAGCTGCTTTGTCTTTGTATCTTAATATGTTAAACACGAAGTATGACATTTGAATCAGGTGTTAGGAAAGTATCTGACCTGAGTAAGAGGCAGTCTTGCTTCTTAGGAGTGTGGACAAAGACATCTCATGATTGACACTGTAATTTATCTTCAATTAAATTTAATCCTAGGTTCTTATCTCTAGCCCCCCTGAGGGCCATCAATGGACTGACTTAAATTTATTATTATTATTACTATTATTATTATGAATCTAACACCTAAATACAAAATATAAAGCTTGGTCAGTATTAAATTCTAAACTACTGCTGACCCTTAAACAATGTGGGAGGTAGGGGCACTGACTCCTGCACAGTCAAAAATTCATGTATAATTTTTAACTGTCCCAAAATGTAACTACTAATAGTCTACTGTTGACCAGAATCCTTATTGATAATATAAGCAATTAACCCATATTTTATAAGTTCTATGTATTATATACTGTATTCTTATGATAAAATAAGCCAGAGAAGAGAATGTTAAGAAAATCCTAAGGAAGAGGGACGCCTAGGTGGTTCAGTGATTGAGTGTCTGCCTTCGGCTAAGGGGGTGATCCTGGGTTCCTGGGATCAAGTCCCACATCGGGCTTCCTGCAGGGAGCCTGATTCTCCTTCTGTGTCTCTGCATCTCATGAATAAAATCTTAAAAAAAAAAAAAAGAAACTCATAAGAGAAAATAAACTTACAATTAAACTTACTATGTTTAATGGAAAAAAGTCCAAGTATAAAGTTGACTCATGCAGTTTAAACCTGTGTTGTTCAAGGATCAACTGTACTTACATCGCCCAAAGCTTTATTCTGGTCTTTAATCATCAATTAATAGAAGAGAATTAAAGCTGTGTATTGTAGAGAGGAATATCAAACAAGAGTCAAAAGACTTCAGTTTTGATCCTGACTATAGTCTCTCTATCCATGTGATTTCATGGAAAACTTGTTTTTACTAAGTTTTCTAACTGTGGGTAACAAGTGAACAGCAATAGAATGACTTACGTGGATAGTTTGTTGGATGGGACAAGGACTAAGCATAGGGCCTAGCAGGGAGCAGGTGCTCAAGGCACACATACTTGGCTAATCTAAATTGTAATCCTAATACTGTGCTTTGTTTTTAAATGTACTTTTTTTTTTTAATTGAGAAGGGAGGTTGTACTGTATTCTTCAATTTTATTTGAATAAAAAATATTTTAAAAAACCATGAACATGGAAAGATTAAAAACTTAAATTTTGGTGTGCCTGAGTGGCTCAGTGGTTGAGCATCTGCCTTCGGCTCAGGTAGTGATCTGAGAGTCCCAGGATCGAGTCCCGCATCAGGCTCCTTGCCTGATGGAGCCTGCTTCTCCTTCTGCCTGTGTCTCTGCCTCTCTCTCTGTGTTTCTCATGAATAAATAAAATCTTAAAAACAAAAAACAAAAACTTAAATTTTAATATATTCTTTATCATGTTGAAAAGCCATTTCTAGGATCTAATTTTACAGTATAAATAGTATAAAACATTGACTATATGTAAAGATGACAATTTTCCCCAAGTTAATCTCTAAGTTAATTTAACTGCTATCAAAATCACATTTTTTTAGTAGATTTTGACAAATTTATCCTAACTTTCATTTGATTCATTCCAATGATACAGAAAGGTGGTTGGTGAGACATAGGATTATATAAAAGAAGGTATGATGACAGTTTGGGTGAGGAATTAAAAGTCTCAAATACAATTAGGAATAAAAAGAAACTATCTCAACATAATAAAAGCCATATAAGAAAAGCCCTCAGCTAACATATTCAATGGAGAAAGATGGAAAGCTTTTCCACCAAGATCAGGAACAAAACAATGATGACTACTTTTGCCACTTCTATTCAACAACTGCATTTTTTATGTTAACAATGAGCAACTGGAAAAGAAAATTACAAATATGATTACATTTAAGATAACATAAACATATAAAATATTTAGGAATAAACATGACCAAGGAGGCAAAAAATTTCTACTAAAATAAATTAAAGAAGGTACAAATAGAAGCACCTGGGTGGCTCAGTGGTTGAGCATCTGCCTTTGGCTCAAGCCGTGATCCGGGGTCCTCGAATTGAGTCCTGCATTCGGCTCCCCGCAGGGTGCTTGCTTCTCCCTCTGCCTATGCCTCTGCCTCTCTCTCTGTCTCTCATGAATAAATAAATGAAATATTTAAAAAATAAATAAATAAAAAAGATACAAATAAATGGAAAAATGTCCCGTGTTCATGGACTATAAGAAAATACTGTTAAGATGTCAATACTATGCAGAACAATTCATGGATTCAATGCAATCCTGGAAAATCTCAATGGGATAAGTTTTTGCAGAAATAGAAAAATCCGCCCTAAAATTGATAGGAGTTTCAAGGAATCTTGAATAACCAACACTAGTCTTAGGAAAAAATAAATAGGGCAGCCCTGGTGGTGCAGCGGTTTGGCGCTGCCTGCAGCCTGGGGTGTGATCCTGGGGACCCGGGATCGAGTCCCACATCGGGCTCCCTGCATGGAGCCTGCTTCTCCCTCTGCCTGTGTCTCTGCCTCTCTCTCTCTGTGTCTATGAATAAATAAATAAAAATCTTAAAAAAAAAAGGAAAAAATAAATAAAAAGCTGGAAATCTCAAACTTCCTGATTTCAAAACATATTACACAAAGCTACAATAATCAAAACAGTGGTGTACTGGCATAAAGACAGACACAGAAACCAGTGAAGTAGAACAGAGAGCCCAGAAATAAACCCTCTCATATTGGTCAAATGATTTTCACTATAAATATTAAGACCACTCAATGGGGAAAGGACAGTCCTTTCAACAAATGGTGCTGGGGAAACTGAATATCTATATGCAAAAGAATAAAGTTGGACCTTTACCTTACAACATATTCAACAACTGAAAATGCATTAAAAACCAGAAAACTGAGAAGAAAACATCAGTGAAAAACTTTATGCATTGGGTCTGGCAATGAATTCTTGGATAGGGCACCAAAGGCACAAGCAAAAGAAGAAAATACAGACCAAAGGGATTACTTAAACTTAAAAACTTCTGTGCATCAAAGCACACAATCAACAGAGTGAAAAAAGCAACCTTCATATGAAATGAGAGAAAATATTTGCAAATCATGTACCTGGTAAGGGGTTAATACCCAGAATATATAAAGAAATTCTATAACTCAAGAGCAAAAAAATGAAAAAATCCAATTAAGAAATGAGCAAAGGACTTGAATGGATATTTCTCTAAAGATAATATACAAATACCCACCAAGCATATGAAAAGATGCTCAATAACACTAATCACTTAACAAAATGCAAATCAGGGGCACCTGGGTGGCTCAGTTGGCTGTCTGCCTTTGGCTCAGGTAGTGATCCCAGGGTCCTGGACTGAACCCCACACTGGGGGCTGGGAAGTCTGCTTTTCCCTCTCCTTTTGCTCCCCCTCCAATGCTCTCTCTCTCTTGCTCTACTCGCTCTCAAATAATAAAAATATAATAATAAAATATTTAAAAAACTGCAAATCAAAGCACAATGATATCTATCACCTTATACCATTAGGATGGATACTATGCAACAAAAATGAAAATAAAAAATCCAAAATAACGTGTGTTAGCAAAAAGATGTGCTGTTGATAGGAATGTAAAATGCTATAGCTGCTATGGAAAACAATATAGTGGTTCCTCAAAAAATTAAAAATAAAACTACCATGTAATCCAGCAATTCCACTCTTTGGTACTTATCCAAAAGAACTGAAAGCAAGATTTCATTGAGATATTTGCATATTCAGGTTCATAAAACCATTATTTGTAATAGCTAAGCAGTAGAAATACCCTAAATAACCACTGATGGATTTATGGACAAACAAAATGTAGCATATACATACAATGGATTATTCAGCCTTAAAGAAAAAAAATTCTGGAGCATCTGGGTGGCTCAGTCAGTTAAGTCTCCAACTCCTGATTTCAGCTCAGGTCATGATCTCAGGGTTGTGAGATCAAGCCCTGCATTGGGCTCTGTGCTCAGTGGGCTGTCTGCTTGAGATCCTCTTCCTCTCCCTCTGCCCTACTTGCTCTCTTGCTCTCTTAAATCAATCTTTAAGAAAAAAAGAAGATAAAAAGTTCTGTCACTGGGATCCCTGGGTGGCGCAGCGGTTTGGCGCCTGCCTTTGGCCCAGGGCGCGATCCTGGAGACCCGGGATCGAATCCCACATCGGGCTCCCTGCATGGAGCCTGCTTCTCCCTCTGCCTGTGTCTCTGCCTCTCTCTCTCTCTCTCTCTCTCTGTGACTATCATAAATAAATAAAAATTAAAAAAAAAAAAAAAGTTCTGTCACATGCTACAACATGGATGAACGTTGAGGACATCCTGTGAAGTGAGCTAGTCACAAAAAAAGAAATATCATATGAGTCTCTTATATGAGGTAACTGGAATAATCAAATTCATAGAAACAAAAAGTAGAATGGTGGTTGCCAGGGTTAGTGGGGACAGGAAAATAGGGAGTTACTGTTTAATGGGTATAGAGTTTCAGTTCTGCAAGATAAAAAAGTTCTGAAGATTAGTTTCACAATAATATGAATATATTTCGCACTACTCAAAAAAAATTTTAAAAATATAAGGCACAAAGCCCATTAAATCTAATATACCACTGTGGACTCATAACCTTATTAAGTGTTAAAAACTTCCCAATTATGACAGAGAAATAGGCCAGCAGCAAGGTCATCCTGCTCACCATGAGACCACATCCAATATTTTCCTACTAGTCTTTTGCACTATTCTTCTCCACTAAAAAGAAATCAGGGATCTAATGTCTTGGCACAGATATGCCTCGTTGTTGCTAAAATAAAAGTAATGATAATAGCAACATTAACGATAATAATAATAAACAGCCAACACTCACTGAGTATTTGTTATGTGGCCAGAGAGCATCCCAGGTGCTTTACATGCATTCATTCATTTACAGCTCATAACAACCCTATATGGTAGATATATTATCATCTTTTTAAAGACAAGGAAATTCAAGCACAGAGAGGTTGAGTAACTTGTCCAAGGTCATACAGCTAGTAAGTGGCAAAACAGGCATTTGAACCTTCTCCAAAGTCTGTCCTCTTAACCATATATTATACTGTCTCTCTGGAGACAAAAATACTTAAAAATACATCTGGATAAGATTGAAAGGACAGGGCAGCCCTGGTGGCGCAGCGGTTTAGCGCCGCCTGCACCCCGGGGCATGATCCTGGAGACCCTGGATCCAGTCCCATGTCAGGCTCTCTGTATGGAGACTGCTTCTCCCTCTGCCTGTGTCTCTGCCTCTCTCTCTGCATTTCTATGAATAAATAAACAAACAAAAAAAAAAAACTGAAAGGACAGGTGCCAGTCTAAAGAGATTCCTAACAGGCCAAATGCAATTTAAGCATAGAAAAGAGGGTGATAATGATAGTTAACTACTTTATGGAAAGCCAGGAGTCCCTAATGATTCTTAAAAAAGAGAAAAATTAACACAAGAATCATAAAACTATAGCTATGATTCAAAAATAAGGATGGCTATGATATAGGGTAAGTTTAATTTTTTTAAGCAGTTCACATATAGAGCACACTGCAAACAAGTGTTTCTTCTATAAAGTATGTATCTGTCTCACAGTATTTATCTCTGTGAAAGGACATGCTAGACACAGAGTAAGGAATGTGTAGGTCAGGTTGGGGAGGCTGCTTTGAAAGAATTATGTTTATATCCTCATGGCATAAACAGTCCAGTAGTTTTCTGAGCCATAAGGTGAGATCTCTAAAGGATACCTACATTCAGCAAGGAATCTTCCACATGTTAGTTGAAGGTGCTTTGAGAGCCTGCATGAACTGAGGGTAGGCAAAGACTTGCACAGCCCTCAGCATCGCCACAAAGTGTGTGAGGTGTGAGTGACCTGACAGGTGAAAATAACATCTGTGCACATTTGGGGGATTTATACCCACAGACAAATGCCATTTAGGGGTTTGTAAGTCCGGCACAATCTCCTTAAGAACCCTCACTAAACCTCTTCCCTGCCCCAGAGGCAGAGAACTGGCAAGAGGCCAAACAATTCCAGAAAATGCAGGAATTGTACCCTTAACAGAGAGGACTGGTTATAGAAGAAAACCAGCTATGTACTCAGCTTGCGCAGCTGAGTATTTTTTTTAATTTTTTTTATTATTATTTTTTATTTATGATAATCACACAGAGAGAAAGAGAGAGGCAGAGACACAGGCCGAGGGAGAAGCAGGCTCCATGCACCGGGAGCCCGACGTGGGATTCGATCCTGGGTCTCCAGGATCGTGCCCTGGGCCAAAGGCAGGCGCCAAACCGCTGCGCCACCCAGGGATCCCCAGCTGAGTATTTCTGAAAGAAAACTATAGACTAATTAGTCCTTGTCTCTTAGGAGATGGAATCTCTGCCAATTACATGAGATACATTTAATTGTAGGTACGTGGTAAACCAAAGCAGAAAATATACAACTAGGACACAATGGACTTGGATACTAAAAAAGGGGAAGTGCTAGGTTAGAAGAAAGGTCTGGAAAGTCCCTCTCACATGGTAAGGAAATCCTGACTCCAATAGGGGCTTGGCTTTATGAACTAGGTAAGGCATGTGTTCCAATAACCTTCAAAGGAAAAATCCTATCCATTAACAATCTCTAGATCACTGCCAAGAACCTACAAATTTGGCTGACCTGTGACAGTTCTTTTAGGGTCTGACACAAGTACTGGACACCTAATGAGGCTGTAAAAAACAAATATACTAGCCTCAGGAAATATAAACACTGGCATCCTGGAGAAATTAATCAAGCCCAGAATGAAAAATTTTTAGCAAGTGTAGGTAAAATAAGAAGATATTTTAAAAAGGTTTATTTATTTTAGAGAGAGAGTGATCAAATGCAGAAGTGAGGGTGGAGAGAGAGAATCTTCAAGTAGACTGCCCACTGAGCACAGAGCCTGACGCAGGGCCTGATCTCATGACCCATGAGATCATGGCCTAAGCCAAAGTCACAGGTCAGTCATTTAACCAACAGAGCCACCCAGGCACCCTGAAATAATTAGTTTTATGATCACTGAGATAATTTTGTGTTTTTGGTATGTGTTTATGTATTGTCTGTGGCTGCTTTTGTGCTGCAATGGCAGTGTTGAGTAGTTATATTGGGGATGTTATGGCCTGCAAAATGTAAAATATTTACAGAAAAATGTTTGCTGGCCCCTGAAATAAACTAGTAACATTTGCTAAGGGGAAGTGTCCTTTTCTGTAGAATGCCTGGCTAAGAATTATAAATAAGCTCACAATCCATGAGGCATGATGAACCATATAACTCACTGGGGCATAAGATGGAGATGTTTTGTAATTTAAATGCCCCTCACTGTGCAAAGTAATAACCCACAAAACCTCACTTGGAGACCTCATCTATTGAACTGTTCTTAAACTTTGTTTTGCCCTATGCTCTTTCTGTTGCTGTGCCAGTGTCCACAGTTTTGTTAACTGTAGGGGTGTAGTTGTTAAACTGAAAAATTAAGACCTTGTGGAATTTTATTTTTTTTATTTTATTTATTTATGATAGTCACACAGAGAGAGAGGCAGAGACACAGGCAGAGGGAGAAGCAGGCTCCATGCACCGGGAGCCTGACGTGGGATTCGATCCCGGGTCTCCAGGATCGCGCCCTGGGCCAAAGGCAGGCGCCAAACCTCTGCGCCACCCAGGGATCCCGTGGAATTTTATTTTTGATGGATATCAAATTCATCATGCTGCCTGCCCTTTTATTCTATATGAAGTTATCCAAAACTTCTATGTTTTGTTATATAGTTGGATAGTGGTGCTCGACTCGGATCCCCTTCAATCTTTTTTCTGCCTCTTTTGGGGTTATTTTTGCCTAGAGCCTACCTTGCTCAAACACATAGAGCCTGAAGGGCCTGGATTTTTGGTTCCCAGGACATAGCCCTCACTGCATGATTGATGTGTTAGAGAGTTCCCTTGCTTAAGGTAAGAACAATTCAGAGGCACACATTTCATTCCAGAGCTCCTTGAATGATCAGGATGAGTTGCCCTTTGCAGCACTTAAAGAACCCAGTCTTGTTGGCCCCTTCTCTTTTGTCCTGTTTTGCTCCTCCCACTCCTGTGCTAGTTTACTTTGGGAGCACTTCCTTTATCATTTGCATACAGATCTTTGTCTCAGGGTCTGCTACTGGGCAGCCCACTCCGTGACAGAATACCCAGGAATTTACCTTCTAAAATTGATGTTGAGATTGGCGGTCATGGCAATTCCCCCAGTTAAAACAGCACACATACCAAGAGTAGAATCAATCATGGTTGCAATGGCACCTCCGTGAAGGAATCTAGTTACAACAACAGGGAAAGAAAAAATGTTTTCAGAAGGTCTAAAAACAGTGCCTCTAGAGAGAAACTATCCAAGCACATCTCCATATAATTTACTTATGAAAGGTCCACTTGGGGATCCCTGGGTGGCGCAGCGGTTTGGCGCCTGCCTTTGGCCCAGGGCGTGATCCTGGAGACCCGGGATCGAATCCCACATCGGGCTCCCGGTGCATGGAGCCTGCTTCTCCCTCTGCCTATGTCTCTGCCTCTCTCTCTCTCTCTCTATCATAAAGAAATAAAAATTTAAAAAAAATTAAAAAAAAAAATGAAAGGTCCACTTGGTCCATGTTCAACGAACTCAAGTAATATTCACGTTCCCAGCTTTATTCTATTTGTAGCATAATGGTCTAGTATTGGTAATATACCAGAACTTAATGGTAATTAGATCACAAGCAAGGAGAAAGCTAAAATATAATTTAAGAAATCTGTATCGTAGGGATCCCTGGGTGGCTCAGCAGTTTAGCGCCTGCCTTTGGCCCAGAGAGTGGTCCTGGAGTCCCAGGATGGAGTCCCACATCGGGCTCCCAGCATAGAGCCTGCTTCTGTCTCTGCCTCTCTGTGTCTCTCTCATGAATAAATAAATAAAATCCTTAAAAAAAAAAAAAAGAAATCTATATCGTATTTTTACTTAGCTGTATATATCACTGTTTAAAAATGGGAGGAAATGCAGATAGAAAGAAAAATAAATTAAAAATTGGAAGGTCTTGGGACGCCTGGGTGGCTCCACAGTTGAGCCGTGATCCCGGGGTCCTGGGATTGAGTCCTGCTTTGGGCTCCCTACAGGGAGCCTGCTTCTCCCTCTGCCTATGTCTCTGCCTCTCTCTGTGTCTCTCATAAATAAATTAAAAAAAAAAAAATCTTAAAAAAAAAAAACTGGAAGGCCTTTCATCCCATCATCTAGTGACAAATCACTGTGAACATGTTACTGATACTCTCTCAAATTATACCCTTTTGCCCTATCCCACAGCTTTAATATTTTAAACATCTTTCCATGTCAGTAAATATATATCTGCATTGCCACTTCAATGCCTTTATTGTACTCTGTGGGTATGTATGGATACTCTAAGCTATCATTCTTACCCAGGTACTCCTTGCAGGTGAGGACCTCCTTGAAATATGCAAACTGTCCTGTCTTCAACATGATTATGGAACATCACATATTCAAATCCCACACCTTCCCCAAGGCTTCTGGGAAAGAGCTGGGCCTGTGACATTTGTTCTTTTAAAAGTTTTGCGTCTGGAAGGGAAATGAAGTGGATAGGCACATGAGAAAACAGGTATGAGAAAGAGCCATGACAGAGTTAAGCATCTGTACCTTGTGAGAACCACAGGTTTATGGACGACCAATTGAAATGTCAACCAGGTACAAAATTAGAGGGATTAGGAGCATCCCACAGAAATAGACTATAGGCTCTTTGCCCTTATAGACTTAACAGTCTAACTGGGGACATAGCAAACATAAATGAAATAAAAAAACAAGGGCAGCCCAGGTGGCTGAGTGGTTTAGCGCCACCTTCAGCTCAGGGCATGATCCTGGAGTCCCGGGATCGAGTCCCACATCAGGCTCCCTGTATGGAGCCTGTTTCTCCCTCTGCCTGTGTCTGCCTCTCTCTCTCTCATGAATAAATAAAATCTTAAAAAAAAATAAATATAAAAAACAAGTACTTACACATGGCAAACAGAAAATATAGTATATAAACGCTGATGGTATATTAAATGAAATAACGTATAGACAGAAAGTCTTCTCAGAATAAGTACGGTTTAAATGGGATTTAAAGAAAATGAGCAGTGTAACAGTAGGGAGGTTTTCCTTGCAGAAATGAGTTTAGCCTCAGCAGAAGACAGTCATCATACTGCATCAAAATCAGGTCCAGTTCAGTCCAATATTCTGTGTGACTAGGACTCTAAGGCCCCAAATTCAGGGTTAGAACCAATAAGGTTCATGAAATCAAATTAGGGAGTTGTAATCTAACATTAAGAAGCAGAATACTTTATATATATCCTGGGCAAAAACTAGTATACTTGTTTAGATGTGGTTTTTTGCTTATACAACTGTGCACTAGTCATGTCTACTGAGCTGTGAATCAAAAGGCAGGTCACTTCAAAGCAAAGATGGAAAGCTACTGTTCTAAAGGGAGGGCATATTTATACTTATACATCTATGTGAGGATTTAATTGCCCAAATTCCTCTTCCTTTCCTGGCTCATTATGATTTGCCGTGCATTAACACGAAATTTCCTTTCTTGTTACTGAATTTATATTTACAAAGTTTGGAAAAATATGAAATAAGAAGATTTGGGAGAGGTGGGGAAAATGGCTTTTAGTTAGGCCATGAACGTCCTGAAGGGCAGGAACCCTTTTAGACTTTTTTAAAAAAAAGATTATTTATTTATTTATTCATGAGAGAGACAGAGAAAGGCAGAGACACAGGCAGAGACAGAAGCAGGCTCCATGCAGGGAGCCCGACACGGGACTCAATCTGCGTTCTCCAGGATCACGCCCTGGGCCGAAGGTGGCGCTAAACCGCTGAGCCACCCAGGCTGCCCCCCTTTTAGAGTTTGTATGCTCAACAAATGGCATTCACTGTGTTTGCACACACGATACGCACTCTAATGGCTGCTGAGAAAATTAAGGGAGCAGTAGCATAGGAATTGGGAAATTTAAGTTCTTGGCCTAGAACTTGTTCTGTCCTCCACACTTTATCCATACAGCGAGGGGATAAAACTCAATGACCTCTGAGATCCTTCCAATTTTAACATTCTGGAACTTTAGGATAAGATAAAAAAAAAAATTAGAAGGATTTGTTGCTTACTTAGAAGGAGTAGATAAGCAAGTAAAAATTTCTGATCCAGATTACACAAAACCTCAAGGTTATCTTATAAAAATGAGAAAAATAAAGATGTAAAATCAGTTTGTGAGAAATGCAGGCTCAGGCTCACCTCCAACCTACTGAAGCTCAGCCTGCACTTTAGCAAGACTCAGTGGCCTCATATTCATGTGCAAATCCGAGAGGCACGGGCCTCTTACAACATCTGTGGCAGAGGGGAGCTATGGTTAGACCTGAGCTCTGAGTCACTGCCAGCTGGATGAAAGGACAGATTGAAGGGGATGAGAAAGATGAGCTAGAAGACCACTGAGACACTACAGCATCACAGCCACTAGCTCATCCCCTGGGTGAGGTGACTGTCTCCAGGATGTGAAAGAGATGACATGTGGCTAGATTAGTCCAGGGCTGGGGCTTCCCTGGTTGAGTAGGCCAGAGAGGTTCAGATAAATGCAGTCAAAGAATCGCTTCCATGGGCCCTAAACAAGCAAGCTAGAAGGAAGACAACTGTGATCAGGGTTTAAATGTGTGAATGGGGATCCCTGGGTGGCGCAGCGGTCTGGCGCCTGCCTTTGGCCCAGGGCGCGATCCTGGAGACCCGGGATCGAATCCCACGTCAGGCTCCCGGTGCATGGAGCCTGCTTCTCCCTCTGCCTGTGTCTCTGCCTCTCTCTCTCTCTCTCTCTCTCTCTCTCTCTCTCTCTCTGTGTGTGACTATCATAAATAAATAAAAAAAAAAATTAAATGTGTGAATGTGGGGTTATTCATTTGTTGCAGTCAAGGCTCAGGATGCCCCTGGCAGTGTGAAACCAGGGCTGGGTGAAGGAGAGTTTACAAGTGACACAGGAAGCCAAGTGAACTGTGGAGCGGTGGAGAATGGTGGGGAGGCAAGATGATGACCCAGCTGCTGAGACACTTAGCATGTGAGGGAGAGGTTGGCAGAGAACGGCAACACAGAGGAGAGGAGGAGGTTCAGATGGGATTAACCTCAAAGGCACGGGGGTTTCTACGAGGAACAGGAAGTAACGAGGAACAGGAAGTAATGGGCTGAAAGCAAGTGTGGGTAGCAAGGAGAACAATTCGGAGAGGGCAAGAGAAAACTGAACCATGAGCCATATAGGAAAGGAACTCTGGAAAACACTGATATTAAGGAACAGGGAGGGGAGAGAGAAAACTGGTCAGAGATCTGTGAAAGCGGAGAGAGAGATTTCAAGGAGAATGAGATCAACAAGGCTGAAAACTGCCCTCCAGATTTGGTACTTAGGTCACTAGGAGCTTAAGTGAAGAAATTTCCATAGAGCTGTTAGGGGAGATTGCAGACCACACTGTTAAAAACATTCAGTTGTGTGATGAAGTGTCAGAATAGAACTAGTAATACAAGTCACTAATGTTTCCCCTTCATTTGTAAAACAGAGTAATTCTTATTTTTCTCTTTTGGAGGTTCTATAAAGAAACTTGCAAACTCATTTTTCTTAGTGAAAAGTAGTTTTATTTTTATTTCATTCGTTCCTTCAAATGCTGAAGTGTCTACCATGAGGAAACGAAGACAAGGAAAGTAAAGTGATTTGCCCAAGTTCATACAGCTTTAAACTGTGCAACCAAATCGGAACCCACACACTAACGTAGGAAGTTGTCAGCTTTTGGATAGTGTCCAAAGCCATGTGACTGAATGGGATTACCAATAGGGTATAGAGAAGAAAGGAATCCTGAGGGCTGAGATGTGGGGCATCCTATCATTAAGACTTTGAGGACAATGAGGAACCGGCAAAAGACAGACAGGAAAGGACCAGTGAAGTAGGAGTGTGCTGTCTTGCACAAAGAGATGGAAAAATATTCCATGCTCATGGATTGGCAGAATTAATATTGTGAAAATGTCAATGTTACCCAGGGCAATTTACACGTTTAATGCAATCCCTATCAAAATACCATGGACTTTCTTCAGAGACTTAGAACAAATTATTTTAAGATTTGTGTGGAATCAGAAAAGACCCCGAATAGCCAGGGGAATTTTTAAAAAGAAAACCATATCTGGGGGCATCACAATGCCAGATTTCAGGTTGTACTACAAAGCTGTGGTCATCAAGACAGTGAGGTACTGGCACAAAAACAGACACATAGATCAATGGAACAGAATAGAGAACCCAGAAGTGGACCCTCAACTTTATGGTCAACTAATATTCGATAAAGGAGGAAAGACTATCCACTGGAAGAAAGACAGTCTCTTCAATAAATGATGCTGGGAAAATTGGACATCCACATGCAGAAGAATGAAACTAGACCACTCTCTTGCACCATACACAAAGATAAACTCAAAATGGATGAAAGATCTAAATGTGACACAAGATTCCATCAAAATCCTAGAGGAGAACACAGGCAACACCCTTTTTGAACTTGGCCACAGTAACTTCTTGCAAGATACATCCACGAAAGCAAAAGAAACAAAAGCAAAAATGAACTATTGGGACTTCATCAAGATAAGAAGCTTTTGCACAGCAAAGGATACAGTCAACAAAACTCAAAGACAACCTACAGAATGGGAGAAGATATTTGCAAATAACGTATCAGATAAAGGGCTAGTTTCCAAAATCTATAAAGAACTTATTAATCGAATCATGAAATGGGCAAAAGACATGAAGAGAAATCTCACAGAGGAAGACATAGACATGGCCAACATGCACATGGGAAAATGCTCCGCATCACTTGCCATCAGGGAAATACAGATCAAAACCACAATGAGATACCACCTCACACCAGTGAGAATGGGGAAAATTAACAAGGCAGGAAACAACAAATGTTGGAGAGGATGCGGAGAAAAGGGAACCCTCTTACGCTGTTGGTGGGAATGTGAACTGGTGCAGCCACTCTGGAAAACTGTGTGGAGGTTCCTCAAAGAGTTAAAAATAGACCTGCCCTACGACCCAGCAATTGCACTGTTAGGGATTTACCCCAAAGATTCAGATGCAATGAAACGCCGGGACACCTGCACCCCGATGTTTCTAGCAGCAATGTCCACAATAGCCAAACTGTGGAAGGAGCCTCGGTGCCCATCGAAAGATGAATGGATAAAGAAGATGTGGTTTATGTATACAATGGAATATTACTCAGCCATTAGAAACGACAAATACCCACCATTTGCTTCAACGTGGATGGAACTGAAGGGTATTATGCTAAGTGAAGTAAGTCAATCGGAGAAGGACAAACAGTGTATGTTCTCATTCATTTGGGGAATATGAATAATAGTGAAAGGGAATATAAGGGAAGGGAGAAGAAATGTGTGGGAAATATCAGAAAGGGAGACAGAGCATAAAGACTTCTAACTCTGGGAAATGAACTAGGGGTGGTGGAGGGGGAGGAGGGCGGGGGGTGGGGGTGAATGGGTGACGGGCACTGAGGGGGACACTTGACGGGATGAG